CCTGGTGGCTCTCTCTCCCTCTCCCTTCCTCTCTCACTAAAATGAATAAAAACATATTTTTTTTAAAAAAAGAAAAAGTAAATAAATAAATTCATATTGGAAACAACGGCAAAAGCCAGCCCTACAGATGTCCCCCCGTTGAGAGAGCACCATGGTGCGGGAGAGAAGACATCAGATGTAGGATCAGAACACGAGTTCTGCCACTGTCCAGTGGTGTGAGGCCTTGGAAACATTTCTTTTATTTATTCATAGCATTGCCCTTCACTCTCCTAAAACTGACTTAAGGCTGCTTGCAATAAAAGTCACTTAACATTTCCAAGACTCAGTTTCCTCCTCCATTAAGTGAGGCTAACAACACTCCTGCCTTTCTTCACTATTTTGCTGTGAGGAGCAAGTCCTTTCCTTGTAAACTATAAAGCATTTCTCAAATATAAGGAAGTTTAATTGTTTATTACCCCTCATAGAATCTTAGAATTATGGGGGGGGGAGGGGGAGTTGCCGGGGAGAGGCTAATCGGGGAAAAAAAAGACATATGTAATACTTTAATAACAAAAAAAAAAGAATCTTAGAATTATGTATTCTATTTGCTATACAAAATTCGCCTCTTCAACATCCACCTCATAAAGACATTAAAAATTGGCAAGTGTTCCTACCATTAAACAATATAAAAATGCTTAAGAAATAGTACTGCTCACTTTACACCCATTAGGATGACTAATATTTAAAAAAAAAAAAAGAATTACAAGTGCTGGCAAGGAGATGGAGATATTAGAACCCTTGTGCGTTGCTGGTGGGATGTAAAATAGTGCAGTTACTGAGGAAAATGGTCTGGAAGTTCCTCAAAAAATTAAACAGAGTTACCATGTGATCCAGCAATTCCACTTCTGAATACATACACAAAAGCATTGACAGCAGTGTCTCAAAGAGATATTTGTATACCCGTGTTCAAAACAGTGTTACCACATTCCCAGTAGCCAAAAGGTAGAAGCATCCCAAATATCCATGGTGAGTGGATAAACAACATGTGGGGTATACATACAACAGAATATTATTCAGCTTTAAAAAGGAAGGACATTCTTGCCAAAACTGGTTTGGCTCAGTGGATAGAGCCTTGGCCTGCGGACTGAAAGGTCCCAGGATCGATTCCGGTCAAGGGCATGTACCTTGGTTGCGGGCACATCCCTAGTGGGAGATGTGCAGGAGGCAGCTGATTGATGTTTCTCTCTCATCGATGTTTCTAACTCTCTATCTCGCTCCCTTCCTCTCTGTAAAAAATCAATAAAATATATTAAAAAAATAAAAAATAAAAAGGAAGGACATTCTCACACAGGCCACAGCCTAAAGGAACTTCGAGGACATTATGCAAAGTGAAAAAAGGAGGTCACAAAAAGACAGATACTGTGTGATTCCACTCATGGAAGTCAAATTCAAAGAAACAGAAACCAGATGGTGGTTAACAGGAACTGAGAGGAGGAGGAAATGGAAAGTGATTATAATAAGAGTTTGGTTTGTAAGATGAAAAGAGGTCTGGAGACTGGTTGCACAACAATGTGAATGTACTTAATGCCACTGAACACTTAGAAATGATCAAGATGGTAAATTTTATATTAAGTGCATTTTTACACAATTGTTGTTGTTCATCTGCACCCTAGGATATTTTTCCCATTTATTTTTAGAGAGAGTGGAAGGGAGAGAGGAGAGAGAGAGAGAGAGAGAGAGAGAGAGAGAGAGAGAGAGAGAGAAACATCAATGCGAGAAAGACACATCAATTGGTTTCCTCATGCATGTGCCCCGACCAGGGCTGGGGATCAAGCCTGCAACCCAGGTACATGCCAATGACGGGAACTACACCCAATATTCTTCAGTACGTGGAAAATGCTCTAACCACTGAATGCACCCACCAAGGCATAATATATTTATAACTTTTTTAAAAAATACATTTTATTGATTTTTTACAGAAAGGAAGGGAGAAGGATAGAGAGTCAGAAACATCCATGAGAGAGAAACATCAGTCAGCTGCCTCCCGAACACCCCCACTAGAGATATGCCCACAATCAAGGCACATGCCCTTGACCGGAATCGAACCCGGGACCCCTGAGTCAACAGGCCGACGCTCTATCCACTGAGCCAAACCGGCCAGGGCAATAACTTTTTTAAGGAAGGAAATTCTGACATGGATTGGATGAACCTTGAAGACATTATGCTAAGTAAAATAAGACAGTCATGAAAAGACAAATACTGTATGATTCCACTTCTGTGATATTCCTGGAGTAATCAACTTCATAGAGACAGAAAGGAAAATGGTTCCCAAGGGCAGGGGAAATAGGGTTATTGCTTAATGGGCACAGAATTTGTTTGGGAAGATGAAAAAGTTTTGGAGCCCTAACTGGTTTGGCTCAGTGGATAGAGCGTCAGCCTGCCAACTGAAGGGTCCCAGGCTCGACTCCGGTCAAGGGCATGTACCTTGATTGTGAGCACATCCCGAGTAGGGGGTGTACAGGAGGCAGCTGATTGATGTTTCTCTCTCATCGATGTTTCTAACTCTCTATTCCTCTCCCTTCCTCTCTGTAAAAAATCAAAATATATTAAAAAAAAAGTTTTGGAGATGGATGATGGTGATTCTTGCACACAATGTGAATGAATGTACTTAATGGCACTGCACTGTCTTAAAATGGTTAAAACAGTCAATTGTATCTTCTACTTTACTGCAACTTAAAAAATAAGAAACACATTTTTAAAGAAACAGTATTGAGAACAATAAAATAAATTGCATGTATTAATGCTAAATTTCCTATGGTACTTGTATTGTGGTTTATGTGAGAGAACGACCTTGCCTTGAGGAGGTACATGCTCGGATATTTAGGTGTGGAGTCTCCTGATGACAGCATACTTCAAATGTTTTAAACACAAAAATGTTGTATGTGTGAGCATATATATATATGGACAGAGATAGAAAGCGATGAAACAATTGTGACAAAATGTAAACAACTGGTTAATCTAAAAAAAACATATATTTTTTATTTTAAAAAAAAAAGCTTTATCAAGTAGCTTTTAGAAAAATAATAAACAGCCCTACCCGGTCTGGCTCAGTGGATAGAGGGTCAGCCTGCGAACTGAAAGGTCCCAGGTTCGATTTTGGTCAAGGGCACAAGCCCGGGTTGTGGGCTCGATCCCCAGTGGGGGACATGAAGGAGGCAGCCGATCCACCATGATTCTCTCTCATCATAGATGTTTCTATCTCTCCCTCTTCCTTCCTCTCTGAAATCAATAAAAATATATTTAAAAACAAACAAAAGAAAAACCCCACAAGTGTATAAAAAAAGAAAATGATAAACATTTTTTAAAACCTGATTGGTTTTTAATTATTGTATCATTTTCCATACAAACAGCTGTAAGAAAGTCTACTTTTGCCCATCTGTGATTATGTAAAAGTTGTGTATGAACGTGGACAAGGTCTCAAAGGGAAAATGGAGAGGGTTTTACGTGGTGAGGTAGAGTGATTGTAGATCATTTTTCTTTGTGATTTCTCTTTATTCCATTAAAAAGTAGAAAGTCTACCTCTGGCCGATGTGGCTCAGTCCGTTGAGCATCATCACATGCACCATGAAAACTGTGGCTCAATCCCCAGGAGGCACGATCAGTGTTAGATTCTCACGTTGATGTTTCTCTCTCTCTCTCCCTTCTTCTCTCTCTAAAAATCAATAAAAATATATAGATTTTTACAAGTAGACAGGGTTCACCTCTCAACCCGGGCCTTCTCCGGTTGTGCTTGCTGTTGCAGATGTCCTGGATGTTCTGCACCACGTCGCGGCTCAGTCCGTGCTCCCGCATCATCTCCAGCACCTTTCTGTCCATTAGGTTATGAGACCGGAGGCAGTTGGTAAAACCACAGTTCCCTCGGGTGAAGTGTTCACAGATGTGGAGTCTTTCGCACATGGGCTGATGGCCACAAATCTGCTTTCGACCTTCTCCCTTATAAGTTTTGCATATCTACAGGGGAGAGAATGAGAGTCAGAGACAAAAGTCCTTCCTGTGTCTGCTACACATTCATTAAGGCAAGTTTGACTACACAGAAATTTCAGAAGCATATACCAAAGGGGACAATGCATGCGCTTGCCACCATCTTCAATGACTTATATTCAATTGATCATGACTTTGGGGCAGAAGGAACCTGCGGACTCATGAAAAGAAATATGAATTTGATAATCCTTTGGAAGAATCAGAGTAAAATGGTGAGCTACGGATAGGACCAAACAGGACCCAAGGTGAGCCCTCCATTATGAGGGCACCTCCAGGAGGAAGGCCCACCTGTAGATATCAATTCATTAAGAAGACGGGCGGGTCTTACTTGCAACCGTTGAAAATGCAGAACCAAGTCTCCACCAGACAGAATGTGGCAAAGCTTCTCAAAAGATCAACCAAAGAAGATAATTTTGTATGGCTATGGAAGTAGGTATGTCTGGCTCTACAGAGATGTAGTTCCTACTGAAAGGAGGGCAGCAGAAACATTATTATGCCTGAGGCCAGGCCATTTGATGCAGGACTGGAGGACGCTAGTTTAAAAGTCTGCAGACGCCCAGCTGGCGTGGCTCAGTGGTAGAGCGTCAACCTATGAACCAGGAGGTCACAGCCTGATTCCCAGTCAGGGCACATGCCCAGGTTGTGGGCTCGATCCTCAGTGTGGGGTGTGCAGGAGGCAGCCAATCAATAATTCTCTCTCATCACCGATATTTATATATCTCTCTCTCTCCCCCTTCCTCTCTGAAATCAATAAAGATATATTTTAAAAAACCAAAAATAAATAAATACATAAATAAATAAAGGGAGCGAGCATTCAATTCGTCCTACTACTGCATTTTCAGATCACACTTGCTCACACCAGGCTCCCTAGCAGCCTAGCAGAGGAGACGTTCCAGACTCCAATCCTTAGTAACCTTCAAGCAGGAAGTAAATTGCTGGACTCTCTTAGGTCATCCAACAGAAGCCATCTGTTGGTGTTGCCCCGTGAGGGCCCTGGTCCTGAGTTTCTTCCCGGTCTCACTCCAGCACATCCACGATTCAACACTGCCAATCATACATTCTTCCTGCCTTTAAAACCGAGGAATCATAACTTACCTCAGGCATAAAAAAAGGGTCACTTTGGACGAGAAGTACTGCTAATTCTTCTTTGTTCAGTCCAGAGATCTGATGGCGTTTCAGGACTATGAAGTTCTCTTCTGAGAGAACATCGTGAGAATATTTGCACAAATGTCTGGGGGGGGGAAATGACAATTGTCAGTATTTCCAATTCACAAAAATGTTTAAAAATCATCCAGGGAACTTTCAGTCATTGGAAATCAAGACCCACCTCCTTTGATAACTAGTACAGGTTGGTCCTGCTTAGAAATTGCACTTTAAAAATATAAAGATGGCCCACCCAGAATGGCTCAGTTGGTTAGAGCACCCTCCCATGCACCAAAGGGTTGCCCGTATAATTCCCAGTCAGGACATAATTCAACCCTCAGTCAGGGCACATTTCGAGGGCAGCCAATGAATGTTTCTCGCTCATCAATGTTTCTATCTCTCTCTATCTCCCTTCCTCTCTCTCTAAAATCAATTTTTAAAAACATATTTTTAAAAAAACTGAAACCAATTTATTAGAAATGATTGCTCAACGAGAGACAAAGAATAATGAGAATAACACATTTATGGACTGACTATAGAGTCAGGGAGAAAACTGAATTCCATTTATCAAAGATTTTAATTACACAAAAGTGTTCATGGCTTTATTTCTTCTTCATCTTATATATCAATGTATACCTGTATAATTTGTGACTATAAAGGAATATAACAAGCTCTTAATGGTAGAATTCAAAGAAGTTTACAGAAAGAGATAAAAACCCCCTTCACTTTAAGTCTTTGATTATGTAGGTCAACACTATCCCGAATAGAATTTTCTCTGACAATGAGATTGCTCTCTCATCCAAGCTTTCCAAGATGTAAGCCCTACATGGCTACTGAGCATTTAAAATAGAGCTAGTGAGACTTGGGAACTGCATTTTCTATTTACTTTATTTTAATTAATTTAAATTGGAATAGCCACATATAACGAGTGGCCACCATACTAAGTGGCAAAGATTTAGATCTTGGCTATTCAGAGTGTGGCAGGAGAACCAGTAGCACCTGGGCGCTTGTCAGAAATTTAGAATCTCAGGCCCTACCCTAGTCCTACTGAATCAAAATCCATCTTCCAACAATATCTCCAAATGATGAAATCACACTGAAGTCCAAGATGCACTGACTGAGATCACTGAGAAGCCCTGAGAACACTGATAGTTTCATCGGACAAACAGAATTTGACAGCAATGTCTACATAACAAACTCATTCCACTTTTTAATCTACATATGCTACCTAATGTATCACCAAAGTCCTCAGACTTGTGATTTTAACAGTTATCAATATGATGGGATATTGCCCTGGCGGGGTTGCTCAGTTGGTTTGAATGTCGTTCTGATACACCAAGGTTTCAGGTTCGATCCCCAGTCAGGGCACATAAAAGAAGCAACCAGCCCTAGCCAGTTTGGCTCAGTGGATAGAGTGTCGGCCTGTGGACTGAAGGGTCCCAGGTTCGATTCCAGCCAAGGACACAAACCCGGGTTGTAGGCTCGATCCCCTGTGAGGGGTATGCAGGAGGCATCAATGACTCTCTCTCATCATTGATGTTTCTATTTCTCTCTCCCTCTTCCTCTCTGAAATCAATAAAGAAATATATTTTTTAAAAAGAGGAAGCAACCAATGAATGCATCAATAAGTGGAATAACAAATTGATGTTTTGGTCTCTCTCAAAATCAATCAATAAAAAATATATATGATAGGATGTTCTATTTTCTAGTTTGCACAACCATTATCAAATTAACAGGTGGTTAGGTTACGGCCAGATTTTCACTATATAAATAGTGTGACTACAATTACCTTTATACAAATAACCTCTCTTCCTGTCTGTTATTTTCCTGGGATTATTCCTTTGGGAGTATTCCCCAGAGGACACAATTATTTTCTTGGCGGCTTGTGTTTCATTTTGATCTACTGCTCTCCAGAAAACATACCAATATGTGAGCGTGATTATTTCCCCACAAGCACATTAATGTTGAGTTTTATTATTTTGCTATTTCAAATAGGTATGAATTAGACTTATATTTTTAATTTGCACTTAATAAATATCTCCATTTATTTGCCTTGTTCTATTTTCCATATTGAGAATTAAAATGTTTCTTTTAACAGTTCTCCTTCGTTTCCCAAATAGTAAACATTTATCTGTTGCCACTATTTTTTTAGTTCATTATTACTATGAAAAAAGAAATGCCAATGACTTTGCAAAATGATCTTGCTGAAATTGATCATTTGTTTTTAAATGTAAACATCTAAGGTAAAAGTTATTCTCTAAGAATTAATCGTTGAAAGTCACTCATTCTCGCGCTGCCGCCTGTGTGAGCCGCCTGTGTGTAAGGCATTTCTGAAATTCTCTGGAACTGCCTTCAGATCTAGCAGTGGAACCTTCATGAGAAAAATCACAAAATCAGTAACTGCCAGCCCCCTACAACCCTGCAGCCCTCCCACGCACCCTGCTTCTCAGAGAAGTCAAGGGCAGCTAGCCAGGCTCTGGCACCGCCTCCATCCCAGCCATTTTCTCAGGCGGCCCTCGCCGCTTTCTCCACCAGGTGGCCCTGGCTTTCAGCCATTTCTGGCACTTCTAGATAAGGCTGGCCTCAGCTTTCTGCTTGCTTTGGGTTCTGTGGTTTCAGATAACTGCTCCCCAGCAACCCTCACCACCCAGAGCCCTCCGCAGCTGGGCTAAGACTCCACCTTATCACTCCCTCAAGCCCCATGGGAGGGGGTGATCTGAAGAGAAGCTACAGCAGGAAGGGCCCAGCCTCCACCCAGAAGAGAAAGCCCCTCCATCACAGCGTTAGGATGTGTGCGAGCCTCATTACCTCATAGGGCATCTCACTCCACTGGCCGTTGCCATTAATGATCCTCTTGATATGGAGCTGAAAAGAACCTCATTGAAACACCCCACCACTAGCTAGACAGGTTCTGCCCTCTGCCTGGGAGATAAGTAACAAGTGTTTATCAGAGGGAATTCAGAATCTCTCCCTTTAGCTCCAATCCAGACATCCTGAACACAGAGCCAAGACTATGGCACCTCTCCTGCCACCTAAAAAGGGTCATAGAAGAGGACCCAGCCCTCTCCAGGTCCCAGAGAGACACAGCTTTGGTCACAACTAGGTGCCTGTCATGTCCTAACGGAGGAGTGGGGCACTTCCAAGGTCCCTGGAGTCAGTATTTCCTCTAAATACTACAGGCAGCCAGGCGGCCTCATGGGGGCTCCTCTGCTGGAAGCCTGTGTTCCAGGCTTTTCCAAGCTCAGCCAGGACACTCCTGCCTGAGGAAGAGCCCACCCAACACACGCTGCCCATCCAGTTTCACTTCTCACTTCCCTTCTCCATCCTCGGGCAAACCGCTCGCTCCTCTAGATTCCAGGATACGCACCTTGAACCCAGCCTCAGTCTGCAACATCTATGTCTAGCCTTGGTTTCTGACCTGCAGCCCCCACCCCCACCCCCACCGGAAACCCTGCTCAGTTTCCCACATTCCCTAGACTTCTCTATCTTTGCCCTAATTTCGGCATATTGATCAGCCACAGGATAGGGGTGGGACTGTGCTCACCTATTTGGGGGTAAGACCACAAGTACAGAAACTAACATTTATTACATATTCACTAAGTGACAGGAACTTTGTTGTTTAATTTATTTGTCACAGTAATCCTAAGGTAACAGTAAACGCTTTACTTTGGGAAACTAAGGCTGGGTAAAATGAGAAATCAAAGATGACTCAAATACCCAGATCGCAAAACACAAACAAAAACCCAATCTGGACAAACAAAAACAGACATCTGAAACTTTTCCAAGTCAGAAAGGAAAAAAGAAGGAAAAAAAGCACCATTCTGGATTACTTAAGCCACTGTACTAAATGGAAAACTGAGAGCAGAGTCCAAGGAGAGAGGATGCATATAAACCAGTGGTCGGCAAACTCATTGGTCAACAGAGCCAAATATCAACAGTATGACGATTGAAATTTCTTTTGAGAGCCAAATTTTTTAAACTTAAACTATATAGGTAGGTACACTGTTACGAACTTAATTAGGGCACTCCTAAGGCTTAGGAAAAGCCACACTCAAGGGGCCAAAGAGCCGCCTGTGGCTCTCAAGCCGTAGTTTGCCAACCACGGGTGTAAACCCTAGAGGGTGTAGCAGGTTGATGCCTCCATGCTCAGGTTTAAGGTGGCAGAAGCTTCCTTTGCACGTTCTCCTGATCGTTTTGTCCCAGCTCCAGGTCCCTCATATTGGCTAGTGGGCTTAAGCCAAGAAATAGTGTGAAACTCTCCCATGGCTTCTTGGGGTTCTTAAGGCAGCGGTTCTCAAAGAGAGGTCTCCGGACAGGCATCACCTGGGAGGCTGTCAGAAATGCAAATCCTCAGGCCCCATCCCAGACCCACTGCGTGAGTCTCAAACTTTTACCCACATCAGAATCCTCTAGGGCAGCAGTTCTCAACCTGTGGGTCGCAACCCCTTTGGGGGTCGAATGACCCTTTCACAGGGGTCGCCTAAATGCATCCTGCATATCAGATATTTACATTACGATTATGAAGTAACAACGAAAATAATTTTATGGTTGGGGGTCACCACAACATGAGGAACTGTATTAAAGGGTCAAGGCATTAGGAAGGTTGAGAACCACTGCTCTAGGGGCTTTGTAAGAACACAGATTGCTGGGCCCCACCTCCAGAGTTTCTGATCAGAAGGTCTGGGGGATGGGAATGGGAATTTGCATTTTTTAAAATATATTTTTATTGATTTCAGAGAGGAAGGAAGAGGGAGAGAGAGTTAGAAACATCAATGATGAGAGAGAATCACTGATTGGCTGCCTCCTGCACACTCCCCACTGGGGATCAAGCCCGCAACCCGAGCATTTGCCCTAGACCGGAATTGAACCTGGGACCCTTAAGTCTGCAGGCCAACGTTCTATCCATCCTATCCATCCAGCCAAACCGGCTAGGGCAGGGAATTTGCATTTTTAACAAGCTACCAAGTGGTGCTGAGGCTGCTGGTCCAATTAAGTACCAGGTTCAAGATTACCTTTGAAAGGGTTAAAGAGGATAAAACGGGGCAGGGAAAAACTTATTGTGCTTAGCAGATATCTTGCAGCAAACTT